TTGAATTGATTGTTTGTATCAAATACATTATAAGATTTTTAAATGTAAATATGCATTTTCTTGTGATGAACAAAACATTAATCAAATGACTCTTCGAAATCAAATGAATGAAAATGATTAGCAAAATATTAATGAAGAAATATTTTTTAAATGTAAACCTTCATTGTCTCGAATCAAGTATGAATCATTCAAAAATCAAGAACAAAATATTCAATTTGTATAAGTTTTGATTGTGCTCCCTAAATCAAAATGACTGCGTCCGCTCCTGATTAAACATTTTAGATGGGACTCGTATCCCAACATTTAAGAGGCCAATAACTTAATGTCACTTAATGATGTCTAAATTGTTGTCATCAACAATCTCGATAGATATCATTATTCTTCCAATTAAGCAAGTCTCATTAGCTTACTCATGGCAGCTTGATGGAATGACCAAATTTAAAACAAAATATAAGTTTGGTGCTCTGATTGAGACTTTTTAAAGTTTGCTGATACCTAAATATATGGCTAAATAGTATTCATGATTCAAATAATTATATTGACTCAAAATTTTTATTTGTTGAACACGACTTGTTTTTCAAATCATACTTTTTAAAGACAACAGAAAATATCACATCTAGGGATTTTCATTTTCCCTTTTAGTATTACAATAGAAGTACTTCAACATTGTCTTGGAATTGGAGTCGTCGTGAGAGATTGGAATGGAATTGTTAAAGCGTCACTGATGTCCCAAAGGAAGGTGTTCCTGAATGCTTTTTTGGCTGAATCCATTGGAGCTATGGAAGCTGTTAAACTATGCAGACATCTTGGGCTGAGATCCGTCATCTTAGAAGGTGATGCATTGAATGTTGTGAAGGGACTAAACGGTGATCTTGAGTTTTGGAACTACCCAAGCCTACTGATCCAGGACACGAAGAGCTTGCTTGACTTTTTTCAATTCTGGTCCATTCGTCATGTTCCTAGAAGTGTTAATGTAGTTGCTCATGTTTTAGTAAAGGAAGCACTTAAATTCTCTGAGGAGAGCATTGTGTTGGAGGAAATTCCTCCTTGTATTAGGAATTTGCTATAGTGATGTTGAATGAAGTGTTTTTTTTTTTTTATTAAAGTTATGAGATAAATAATCAAAATTAGGAAAATGTCGCTGAATCAATTGATATAGGATATCAAAAAATAACTTTTATCTTCCTTATTTTTATCAACTTGATTAAATTATTTTAAATTTTGTGTTTTTTATTTTAATTATTTGTAAACAACAAATTATTTTCAATTGTTGTAAAACAAACCACCAAATTAAGATGTTGAAGTTATATGACAAATAATAATAAAGTATACAATCAAGTAAAAGAATAATAAATACAAGAATATGATAGAGAAATTAAGAGATTTTATTGACTCGAGAATAATAGAAATGAGAGAAATTACAATGGATCCTATAATTCTAGTAATTTATTTTCTCGCACCTATATAATTGTATAGAAGAGTCTAGTATTTATAAGGAACATATAGGGAATGTCCAAACCATTTTGGTAGAGTTGTTAATGAAGTAGAATGTCAAGAAATCGAGTCTAAAACGAAGTAGGAGAGAAAACGGCGAAAAATCCGAATAGCACAGGTGGCGCTAGGCACCCACCTCCAGGCACCCATGCCTGGTAGGGATGGCAATGAGGCGGGTATGGGACAGGTTGGTCATTCCCACCCCCATCCCGTCGGGTTTTTTTGTTATCTTACCTTATCCTCATACCTGCTTAAAGCGGGACGAGGCGGGATCGAATCGGGGCGGGGCAAGTTTTATGTCCCATTTATTATTTATTTTATTTTGTACTTTTAACTTTTTTATATCTTTAGTTAGTAAATATTATTACTTTTTTACCAATTTATTAAAAATAACTTATGTTCTCTTAAAAAATGATGATAAATCTATTATTTTTGTTTGATAAAAAACTTAAATTTGAAATTAACTTTAAACGGGGTGGGTAGCGGGGCGGGGATTATGTTTCCCGTACCCCTCCCATGCCCGCTTCGAGGCAATGATTAGTAAATATTATTACTTTTTTACCAATTTATTAAAAATAACTTATGTTCTCTTAAAAAATGATGATAAATCTATTATTTTTGTTTGATAAAAAACTTTAATTTGAAATTAACTTTAAACGAGGTAGGTAGCGGGTCGGGGATTATGTTTTCCCGTACCCGTCTCATACCCGCTTCGGGGCAATGAACATCATCCCATCCTCGTCCCGTTTACCCGATTAGGCAGGAAATCCCCGCCCCATTCAGGACGGGACCCTACGGGTATCGGGTTCAACAGATTTTTTGCCATCCCTAATGCCTGGCGCTGCGGCGCTTGACAAGCTGCCCCGAATTTTATTTATTTTTATTTTTTTCAAATTTTTCTCCATCCAAAATTCTCCTTCAAGTCTAATACTAATTTCCAATTTTCAATGGGCATCAAAATAGAACTTCAACTTGATATAAAATTTCAATAGTATTCCAAATTTTAATTCTTCGTGACTTGCACTTCAATTAGAATTTTTCAATACTTCAAATAAGGAATTCGGGTCACAACCAAATTCTAACATCAATTATTTGTAAACAATCAATCGGTACACATTTGTCACGCAGTATCAAACAAGATCGGACAGAGTAAAATAACTTTTAATACAAGTAAATGGAGCTCTACATAAAAGAAAATTTGGCACTACATCAAGTTTATAGCAAGTACACTGCTATGTCGATATGCAAGAACAAATTATATCAATAATGCAACGGCAAGGTATTTAAGTAAAAGCATAAATTTTCAGCCGGCAAGCACAACAGCAAACATGTTTAATTATTAACAACCATGGCCTCAAATACAAATCTCATTAGGAATTAGCCGTAGCACCTTATGGGATCATTACAACCTTTTTCGGCTGATTGCCTGAAACCAAAACGCCCTCCCTTGGCCAGGTGCTGCTGATGGTACTCCTCAGCTCTGTAAAATTTCTTGGCGGGCAGAATCTCGGTAACAATCTTCATGTTCAAGAGCTTTTGGTGTCTATCCCGGGATTCTAAAGCTGCCTTCTCTTGATCAGGAGTGTAGAAGTAAATGCCAGATCTGTATTGAGTTCCCACATCGTTTCCCTACAGTGGATAGTAGAGTCGTAAGTATAAACTGCTCGAATAAGCGAGCATCAAAGAAAGGGTGATGAACACACTATAGAAGTACTAGTTATAGCAATAGTAAGGGTGTATGTTTGATTGGAAAATTATCCATGGAAAATGACATTTTTCTACCCAAATTCCAACAAATTGATTGTTTGATTGCCATTTTTTCTCCATGGAAAATATTTTCCCTATGAAAATATGCATAGTTTTCCTTGTTTTTAAGGAAAACACTTTCTTGGGGGGAGGGGGGAGGTTTTATCTTTCCCTCAAAACAAGGAAAACATTTTCTTTTTTAGGAGGCACTTTCCATGCCAATCAAACACACCTCAAGAGAAATTAACAACGATTATAATATAACATGCACAAAATAAAACTTTTGAGTTTGAAAACTAGGTTTATTTCAGATAATGAAAATATGAGTTTTATTATTTTCATTTTTTGGCTGTGCGTGTTGGGGGAGGACCCAAAGTAGTTTCAGACAACAATGGGGCAAGTCTGATCCAAATGAATATGCAGAAGGTCGTAACTAAGAGATGAATGACTGCATCAGGTCAGGAACAAGCATAAACATTTAACCTTTTCTCCCCCTCACGATATGTTTGGTGCACAGCATTCGTGAAAATTGGACATAATAATAAACAAAATTTTAGTTTTTCTTATTTAATGCTGTACAGTATTCAGTAATGCCACCAGGTCACAGCCGTTGTATACGTGCAAATACACATATGGATGCTGCCAGATCACTAGTTGCTTAAATACATAAAACAAAGTAGTAATGAGCGACTTGATCGAAAGATACGTATGTGTCCAAACATATTTGTAAACAAATTAAGTTTAATTACTTGACGCTTAACCAAACAAAAATATTAGCTTAACCATTCAAAAGAAGCAAAGAACAGAAATGATCTATGACACCACTGTGCTAAAACGCCACCTTATTATTTAATGACACATATATGCTACATGAGGTGGTGTTCTAGCACTACTGGTGCCAGATAGTGTTATTTAGCAAAGAATCTAGCCATCAAAGCACAAAAATGGTATGTTATCGTTTCGGAAACTGAAACTCTTGAACTCAAAAGAAAGTTTCCAATTTTTTCATTTTTCAATTAAAAACCTTATGGACAATTTTTATGAACCTTTTGATCAAATATCCGAAAACCTTGTCAGGAATAGCACACGCCTGTGGGCTTAGATTTTCTAAAACTATATTATGCCCTCATTTGATTTTGATTTTTTCAAAATCACTTTTCCGAACTCATTTCCAACCACATATTCTTGCCATAAAATAATTTTGCACTCTCCATAAATAATTTTGCACATGAACTAATAGTTTTTCCCTGTTTTTAATCACACGTACTCCAAAAAAAAAAGCTTCTCAGAAAATCAAAATCAAAATCAAACAAGGCCTAAACGTATAAAATAAATTATAATTTTTTTAATCCAAACTTTTCCACAGCGTTTTGTGTCCTAAGCCCTGCTCCATGAGGCGCACGTAGTCGAATAAATGAAAACATAAAACTCCAAGATACAATCAAATAGTAATTTAACTTTAACCCACAAATAAAATAATAAGCACTAAAAATTCAATAAAGAAGAAAGAATACGGAACAACCTGGCGATTGAGGGTGGTGGGGTCATGTCTAGCCCAGAAAAGATCGAGCAGAGTATCATAGCTACACTCTTTCGGGTCATACTGAACCCGAACCACCTCCGAATGGTTCGAAGTACCCGAACACACATCCTCGTAAGTGGGATTATGTAAATAGCCCTGCGTGTAACCCACTTCAGTCTTGGTAACACCTGGGACTCTCTGATAAGCCAATTCCACTCCCCAGAAACAACCCGCCCCGAATTGCGCGAACTCTTGTCCCGGGGTAGGTACATCGTCGTCGGGACCCTGTGCTATGGAAGCTACAGAGTCCACCGGGGAGTCGGTTGGGGTGCGGGTACTGAATCCGAGCTTGTTGAGCCAGCTCATCCTTGGGGAGGAGAAGAAAGTGGAGGACTTTTTGGAGGTATTAGGGTAGTTTTGAGGTTTGTAAAAGGGGAGTTTGGAGAGAGAAAGAGAGGGTTTGGAAAGGGAGAAGAGAGGAGAGGAGGCGGTGGTTATGGCAGTGGTTGCGGCGATGGCGGTAGAGGCGGATTTGAGTAGCATTTTGCATATGAAATGATAATGTATTGGTTGTCGGTTACGAATGAGAATAAATTGGAAAGGATATTGGATCTCAGATGTTGTTTGGGAGGAATTAAAATTGAAAATATAGTCGTATTTCATTCGTCTAATAAAAGTTAACAATAATGGTTGATTTTTCAATTTTAATCCGATTTTAATCTCTACCAAATACACTGTAAATATTTTTTAGGGATAATTGTACTTGCGATCCTAAATCTTTCAAAATTATGCAAGTTCTATCCAAACTTTTAATTTATGGCAGCGTTGGTCTCAAATATTTCAAACTAGTGCGATGAAATTATCTTTAGACGGTTTCCAATCAAAAATTTGTTATGATAAAAATTTAGTGTTTGCACTCGACCATTTTGAAAAAGAAATAAAATACTCTTATAATCTATTATTAATTTAAAAGAATAATTTGTAGCTAAAGTTTTAAACATTTCAAAAATGTGCAGTGAAGGTCTCCAAATCTTTAATGAATGTTCGTCGGAAGAACCTCTAACGATTTTCATCCAAAAATCTATCGGTGAACAAAAATATCCAGCCTCTCGGTCCACACCCAATCCTAACGTCTAACCCCTATCCCACCCAACCTCACTCAATGGTAGGTGGGGAGCCTCTGCCAAGGTCGCCACTATTGATTTATCTTTATTTTATTTTTTTAACAACAAGAAATGGAATTGATAGAGACGAAAAAAATGAGTTATCATCATGTTTAGGAGTGAATGGTCTCATAACCACGAGTTACATAGAGCGAAGTTTTAACTGAGGAGCTACAATATTAAAAAACTTAGCCCACGTTTGGTGTAGATTAAAATTTAATAAAAATGAACAATACAACTAACAAATATTTTCAAAATGCCCTCATAGCTTTGTCACTTTTTCCCTATATTAATGAAATGACCAACTAGAATTAGACTTATTTCAAACGCTCAGCAGAATTTAGATTCCATGACAAGTAGGCTGGATCCCCCAAAGGCCTGCACAAATACAGACAAAATGAACCTTATTGTCCTAGGAAAGGGATAAAATTCATTCAAGATTATTACCTCAATCAAGATTAAGAATGCAGCGCTAATGACAACTAAGAATAGGAAAACAAAAGAATTAATCAAGAATAATAGGGAACTAACATCACACTATTAAGTATTAATATATATAAAAATGGAAATTGAATCAAATTATTAAATTCATTTCTAGCCGCTAGTTTTGTCTCATCGTTTAATGATTTTTCAATTTGAAAGCTGCGTTATGAAGTTTTCCATGAATATTTTGATGCGTACCAAGAATCTATCCTGGCAAGCGAAGAACAAAGTCAGAAAAATAAGTCAAAAGATTGACATCAAAATGAGAATTAAACGATAAATATAGTATTATTAAATCCACTTCTAGCATCCATCTTTGGCTTGTTAGTCTAAACTCGCTGTTTAATGATGTTCGACCTTAAAGACGTGTTACAAAGTTTACTATGAATGCTTTGAAACAATACTAAAAACCAACTCCGCCGAATAAAGAACATAATCCGAAAAATAAGTCAAAAGAGGTTACATCAAAATACAAATTAAATAACAAAAAATAGAATTATTAACGAGTCTAAACTACTATATATAATTTAAATTCCTAACTCCGCCACTAAACACACGAGATATAATGTAGGCCGATTCATCTTTATTTCTAGTTTATTCTATTGATCTATAGTTCTGATTTCCATTTTCAAAAGCTCAAGGTCACGTTATATATCCCCTACTCTATGTGGTTTGATTAAAAAAGAGAGTACAAAACCCAGGCAACCACTTTCAGAGATGGTTGAAAAGCATTGCCGTGCATAACTCCACAAGCATGTCATGTGTTTTCCATAAACATGTAAGAAAAGGTCATAAACTGGGGGGGGGGGGAATGAACCGCACACTTAAAAAGACGGTTTCTTTAAAGGGTTATTTTTTCCTGCAAAACATGTAGAAGAAAATTCACCTGGGCTTGATGACATATGTTAATATGAAAGCTATTGCAAGGAACAAGCAGATTCCACCAACTGTGATGTATGCCTTGCCAAGAAAGTCATTTTTCCCACCAATCCAAGTAGTTGTGGAAAGTACTAGCTGTTTTTTGCTGTCAAAAGAATATGTGTTATAATTGTAAACATAATGATGACAATAGAAGAGGTTGGCTTCCAAATCAGTCTCTATCCTCCCATATAACTTTCTGAAATTGGGTAATGCTGCAGTTCTCATCCAAACAAGAAGATCCTCTTGTTCACTCAACTATTACATGAAATCACAAGGATAGAACAATATGAATCAGGAGAAGACACATACTGATATAGACAGATAAAAACGTATTAATTGGAAAGCACTAAATGAGAAAAAGAAGCTAAAAGCTAGTCTATTACTGCTAATATGATATAATATACTGTGTACGAAATATGCACTAAGACTCTAAATAAGTTCAAGTATCTCAGCTCCATAGAGAAATAAGATGGGAACAATTTACTCCGAATTTTTAAAACTTTCAAGTTTTGTGAATTGATCAAAGTAGAATAAAACCCTGCCTTTTCCTTAGCTACAAGGACAATAAGCAACTTCTATTAGCACAGGACCTTGAATCAGGTTGATTGTGTCATATTGTACAACATTTTAATTTAGATGCCCAATATGACGAAGAAAAAAATCTGCCATTTTCCTTTGCTAGTAGGAAATAGCAACTTGTATTAGTGCCAGACCGATCTTGAAACAAATTGGTTGTGTCATGAGCAACATTAATGCAGATATAGATTATGAAAGTTCATTAGAAATGACTTCGAACATTGAAGAAATCAAGTATAAGGGCCCGTTTGGCGCGATTTTTGCTTTTGCTTTTACTTTCCGTAGAAAGTTTTTAGAGAAAGCTACCTTAATTTTTATTTGGAAACTAATTTTCAAAAGTACTTTCTATTCTAGAACTGCTTTCAGAGGAAGCCACAATGAACCAGATCCTCTAAAACTTCTTCTAACTTTTGGAAACACTTTCATAAAATTAGCCAAACGTGTTCAAAAGTAACTTTTGGGTCTCAAAAACTCCTTCTGATTTTTCAAAAGCCATGTCAAACGAGTTCTAAGTATTTTTTGAAGCTCAATTATGATAGGCAAATTGAACAATATGAAATTTTATTTTGAGCTGCAATAAAAGTGTAATAGAGAAAATGGCGAGTGGACTTACAGGTAAGCTTTCATTAAGTTTTCCACCCCCGACTGGATCTTGCTTTTGGAAATTTTTAGGATAGACATTAGACCCAAATTTAGAATTCTTGTCACTTTGCCATGCAATGTCTTTCTTGTTAATTGGTATAGGATTGTTTTTGATAGAAATCCCGTATGTGTCGTTGAATAAACTCCACGCTACTAGGCCGCATGGAACAATAGGTTTGTGATCATCGATTTCAGACTCAGGATCACAAGTCTTTGTTTCTCTCTCAAATCCTGGGCTCCGGTATTGCCTATCACTTCTACTCTTCACATATCTGCACCAAATTACAGTTTCAAGTCAAGAAATTAGGGGTCGACTACATGAATCATTTTATATACCTTTATAACGATACAAAGTGGAAAAGGGAAAATAAAATGACTTTCCCAGATTGTAACATACCGTCGATGGTTCTGATAGAAGTTGTCAAGCTGATAATATACATAAATAGGATGCTTCATCTTCTTTGGAACCTGGAAAGATGTTCAACAGTTGTATTATAAAACCAAATTAATTAAGGAGAAAAAAAAAAGGTGCTCGTGTATTAATACAAAAAGTTAGAAGGGAGTAAACTGACAACTAAATTCCTGATACAGGTTTTATTTGTTTTGGCATTCTGGATGAATGAAAGCCTCTCACTCTTCGCTGCCTCTTCGTCACCATTTGAAGGAACACAAGCGTCGTCATATCGGTCGATAATCTCCACCACCTAAATGAGATAACAAAGAGAAACTTCTCTAATACCAAGGATACTTACTAGTTATTACTAACCACTGAGGCTGGGAATAGACTGCAACAAGAAAAATATGTTAGAATATTACATGCTCTGATGCAGACAAGGAACCGAGGCCAATAGGAACAAATATGATGCCGATGGAGATCAAAGTTGTTATGACCTGAAATAGATGCAAAATCTAAAGTTGATCAACAACTTTGGAATGAAAACTTCATAATCAAGTGGATCAACTGGGATATATAGTATTGGAACCGTACCAATCCGGGAGTTAATATTGGTTTGCAAGCAGGAAGTTCTTGCTGAGTAAATCTGGAATCTGAAAAACATAAGAAAATTGTATAAAAAGGGGGTATACTTTCTTGTTCCAATCAACATAAAGAATAATATGGTCAGTGTTAAATCGTAGTAAGAGTAAGGATTTCTAAGAAAAATACGTCTGATAAAGGTAACAAAGAAAATGCATTCTTCATATACTAAAAACAATTCATATGATCTGAACCTATTTAGTATTCAAGGTCGAAACGAGGAGCAAGGGAAAGAGGGGAGATATTCTGAAGGCCAAAAACAATTCATATGATCTTGTATTAATGACACAAGGTTTTTCTACAGACGTTATCATGTAAGCAACATAATTCAAGACATTAAAGTGAAAGATAAAGAAATGTACATTGGGGCTTCTTGGATTTCTTGGAAATTGCATGAGACGCTTCATCTCCCGAGCTCATCGTGAATATATAAGAAAAATAATTATATGTATATATGTGGATGTTCTTTTAGAGAGAGAGAGAGATTAACCAGGTAGAAAGATAGAAAATTTCTGGAGAAATGTGTATATATAGAGCTAATGTTAGGAATTTGGTACACGGTCTCAAAAACCAAACGGGTTAGGCGAATTTCACTCCCTTGCAATATGCATGTGCTTCCCTAAGAAAGAGTCCAATCTTTCTTCTACGTTTTTCAATCGAATGGTCTTCATTTAGTGGGATTAAGTGTCAATTCTACTAAAATGGAAAGTTGCACTATTAGTCTCCAATACATTGGATCGGTTGCAAATTTGTCCCTATTGTAATTGTTCTTGTATTAAGCTCCACAACCTTAAGGGTTTTGATGTGGCATTAATCCTTGCACACGAAAACCGTTCAAAAATAGCACCTTGCCACGTGAGCAACACGTGAGGCATTTTCGTCCTCAAATTCCAACCATCATTTCACTCTATTTTGTAAAGTTCACAGATGTTTCTATCCATACTTTTAAAGTCTACAATAGTATTGCATAATAAGACGCGTCCAACCCAATTCTTGAATTTTTGTTAGAAAGTTAGAATGGAACCCAGCACTTTCAATGTGCACTTATAAATGGAGATGAATACTTGCTATGTGAAACCACCCTTTTCTGACATTTCCATTTTGTTCTTTTTTCCACAAATCAATTAAGAATCAACGAGCAAAAGAACTATTTTGCGTGCATAAGTGATTATGAGGGCTAGGAGACAGTGGAGGAAGCAATGAGGAGGGCTAGAGTATGGTGGATGCACTGAGAGAAGGAAGATACATGAATAGCAAGACAGAGACAAAAAATTATTTCTACACGTAAACTTTCTATGTCTCTATAATACTTGATCCTTGAAACTATAAATAACAAATAAAAGCACAATAATGGAACAGGAAGACAATTGGGAATACTTATATTTTAGGGGTTGATTTGCACTGATCTGAATCTTAAGGGGGATAATGTAAATAACATTTATAAAAACCAAAGAACTAGGTATTCCGTAATATATAATGAATGTTGCTACATGTACATCAACATTTACATAATGAATTACGTAATACCACGCGACACTCAGTCATTTGTCATTTTAAAATACAATCAAATTTTTCATTTAATTTTTTCCTATGCACCATACTATTCCATTATTTACGTTAGCAAACCCCTCCTTGAACTACTCACCAATGTCACCATTAGAAAGCAGGGGCGGACCTAGAGTCGGGGGGTCACGTGCCCCCCAACTTTTGATTTTTTTTTATATATATATATAAAGTCATGTTTGATATCGATTGAAATCTAAATTCTAATCTAAATCAAAGTTAACAATTAACTTTAATAATATATTTCATGAAATCCATAACTATTTAACTTTTATCAAATTTACTAAAAATTTGATTTTAATCTCCATCAAACATGGGCAAAATCATAATAAATTTTAATTTTTTTTCTCTCGCCTTTTAACAAAATCTTAACTCTTCATCAAATAAGGGCGAAATATTGTATTCTTAATACCATTTCGAAGTGTTCATGGTCTAATTTTCTATGTGGTTAATGACATACGAAACGATCAATCGTAGCAAATGCTACGACTTGTCAAAGTAAGTTGTTCAAAATTAGTATTTCGAAAATTTCGATAATATGCTAACTTTAAAAATTCTTCGATGATCATACGCTAATCGAATTTACAAATTGCTTATATCATCTCAAATCTTATTTCGAGAACTACATTATATNTCTCAAAATTTATTTCGAGAACTAGATTATAGGCAAATCGAAAAATCCAAACAGATATAAAAAATAGTTAAAAATGCGTTAAACGTAAGTTTTTAAAAAAGACGTCTAACTCGCATTTGCTTTTAAAAAATCAATTATTTCATTAATATTTATTATTTTTTCAGTACAAATTTCTCAATGTAATTTTCATCATTTTATTAGGAACTTTTGTATGAAATATGACATAAAAATTTTTCAAAATTTTATATTTGAAAAAGTCATATCCCAAATAAATTTTCGAATGTAAAATTACATGAAATATAATTTATTTGGACGTAAATTAAAATTCGATTTTGCCCCTTTAAACTTGTGCGTCCGCCTATCCTGTCGGTGCTCTCTCTAATTTCCTTTTAATCCGGTATCATTTACTTCTGTCCATCCACGTCAAACTGTTCTGCTCCTTCGGCGACGATTCTATTTGGGTCCATCTCCGGCCGTCGGAAGGAAAATATTCCGGCTCCAGTACCGTCAGATCACCTACCTTCATTACACATACACAATTATGAATCCCGAATAGTAATTCTCCCTCTCTATTCTTCACATTTGAAAAACAATTAAATTTACGCTTGAAAATTTGTAAATTGTTTATGTTGTATTTTTTAGTTTATAGATCTGCTTCAAATTTGATTGGAACGTGTTGGTTTTTCGTATTGTACCCTTGATGTATGTCTTAATTCAATACATGTATTGTTTATCGTAACTTCGGGATTTTTTCGCTTGTTACTAGAATAATTTATATCACTTGATTTTCTAGTTGTTGTACGCAAACTTTAGTTTGAATTTGTGTTTTTATTTGGTTTTGGAGTAAAAACTTTGAACCAGGTCGATATAATCAGGAAGGCTTGGGATCTACGTATGGTTTGGATAAGGAAATTGAACCTTTACTACTGAAGCAAAGTTCCTCCGTGGAAAAAGAATTGATTACATTTTTTTGTGGTGATAATAAGGGGTTGCTTAATAAGGTTATGTTGGAGAGTTTTTTGTAACTACTGATAACTTAAACGAGTTTTACTGGTTACTTTGTTCAGAAACTAAATAGGATGTTATTACTTGTAATGAAAATTCGAGTATTTGTTTATTTTGAGGTCCCTTGTTGAGCATTTATCGTTTGGAAACTCCTAGATCTCTCAACCATATTCGTTTAGGTAGCCATTTTAAGTTAACCTCTAAAATTTTAGTTTGCTGTATATTTTTTTGATAGATAATAAAAGAAGTAAGTTAATAATCATAATTATTATTATTTTCATACAATAACTAAAAGAATTCATAAAACTTTTAACAAAAATGTGGCTATTGTACGAAAGAATAATTCATGTTTGCTGTATATAGTGATAAATGATAATTATGAAGCATGTCAAGTCGGGCCAAGCTAACTATCACAGATGTGCCTATCCTAACCTTTTATGTAGAGGACGATAGAATCGATTCACACTGGGAAGGCTGCACACTTCATCCGAAACTGTGTCAATTTACAGCTGAAAGAGTTTTGAAAAGTTAAATCTGTTGTTGGTCCACTCAAGTCATCTGCTCTTGAATATATCCTACCATTCCCTTCCCCTGCTCATTCTGTTTTCAATTATATGTCCTGCATACTGCATAATGTCAAATAACACCACATTTTACGCTGAATTCTGCAGTGACTACTTGTTCAAACTTCTCTTAATTGGAGATTCTGGTGTAGGCAAGTCATGTCTTCTCCTCAGATTTGCTGTAAGTCATTTGATGTTACGTAACTTGCTCTAATGTAATGCTGACTTCAGCACTACAGCACATCCTTCTTGAAAATCTTTCATATTCTTTCTCTATGATTGTTTTTTATATACTATTAAAATTAGAATTTTGCACGAGACCTAACGGAATGATAAATTAAATATCAAGAATGCTGTTAGTTACCTAATACATTTTCAATTTGTTTTCTTATTTCTTATATAACTGAGGTAATTTGACAAACTGAAACAAAAGTTGTAATGACAATGGTAAATACACCCTTCTCTTCTTCACAAGTGTTGCAAGTGTGATTGTAAGACTACATGGAAAAGTTTGGAATATTACTTCCCTTTAGGGTTTCTGACTAGGGTTGGTTCTAGGGCTTCTTTGCACTCTGTCAAGGCTGAGCTTGTTTGTTTCAGCCCAACAGTATGGCTCTCAGATTCAGCATGAGAAGTACTAGTAACAAGTTGCCATTCAATTCAGTTCTTTTTACCCCCTTTTGCTATTTTTTTTATTTTTATTTGTGAATACCATGCAATATCAGTTAGCCTGCTGGTAATAAGAGAAGGCAGTGGATTCCATATTCGAATATAAAGCGAAAGCGGCAATATTAATGATAATCTCAATTTGTTGAATTTTTTATGAACTTAGGTTAGTTGATGATTATACCTAATCTGCATGCAGGATGATTCATACTTGGACAGTTACATCAGCACAATTGGTGTTGACTTTGTAAGAACTTAATCTTCTTCTGGGTTGGTTGCTTGTATTTGGCATAATTTTCCACATCTGAATTATGTTTCTATTGTTCCAGAAAATTCGTACTGTGGAGCAAGATGGGAAGACAATCAAACTTCAAATTGTAAGGTTCTCTTATCTTGAATCTAAGGGCCCGTTTGGTTTGTGTTTGCTTTTTGAGTTTTAAATTTTGAATTCATTTCAGATTTCTATTTTGAGGTTTGTTCTAAAATTGATAATAACGTGTTTGGTTTGTCATCCCGAAATGTGTTTCTCAAAACAAAAAACTAGAAAACATATTTGATTTGAAATTTCAAGAAATTTTTTAATGTCATTTTATTCAATGAAATTTGATTATTCAGTAAAATAGAATGATTTTATGTTAATATATTATATACCATTTATAGTTAGTGAATAAAACTGTTTCTCAAAACAGAAAACTAGATAACATATTTGGTTTGAAATATTAAGAAATTTTGAATGTCATTTTATTCCATGAAATTTGATTATTCAGTAAAATAAAACCATTTTATGTTAATATATTCTGCATGAATATTTTTTTAGAAATTTTAAGAACTTAACGGTAATATTAAATGTAGCTGCATCCATTGCCTATTTTATTACATAGATATGAGAAAGCTGTACATAACTGATGACTCTCGGTTTCTTTTAGTCTCAACTTTTGAGGATATCCATTCACTTCCTTCAATCTAATTCAATTAACAATGTATTAGCGTTTTATTTTGGGATGTAAAGAGAAAGTCCGAGGTGCCTGAAAAAATAACGGATCATTTTTAATTGCTGCAGCCTGCAGTAAAGAGTAATGCTTAGAAACAATTGCAACTTTTAGTAAGTTGTATCCACACTTGCTCGTTGATTTTTAATTGAAAATTTGACTATTTAGGATCAGTCATAACTCATAAGATCTGAAAATGGTCTTCCTTGAGAAATGTTTTATACATGCCTGTCGACTGCATGCATGGCCATTACAGTGTCCATTTAACTTACCCGTTAATTATTTTTTCAACTGATTAGTTATGTGAATATTTTGTTGCTGTATATCCAACATTGTATTGCAAGATTGTGTTCTTTATTTCCTTTACTGTTGATGGACCGGATGTTTCTCTCTGTTCTTCTGTTGCTCGTAGTGGGATACTGCAGGACAAGAACGTTTCAGAACGATAACTAGTAGCTACTACCGTGGTGCACATGGCATCATGGTAAGTTTCTTCCAATCCCTACATCTTACAATGGACCGTTGTGCCCGTTTTCATGACCTGCTCTGTTGACACTTCTGGCAGATAGTGTACGATGTAACCGACCAAGAAAGCTTCAATAATGTGAAGCAATGGTTGAACGAAATTGATCGTTATGCTAGTGAAAATGTGAACAAGCTTCTGGTTGGAAATAAGTGTGACCTCGCTGAGAATCGAGCCGTGCCCTATGAAACAGCTAAGGTAAAATTCATACTGTTTTGCAAGTTTATTATATTTGAGCAGACTAGTGTTAACTGGCTACCGTTATTTCCTGTCATAAAAAGGCTTTTGCAGATGAAATTGGCATTCCATTCATGGAGACCAGTGCCAAAAATGCCACCAATGTTGAACAGGCATTCATGGCAATGTCTGCTGACATTAAGAATAGGTATCATTTTACATATTGTGCTGTCTTGTTTTCTTTATTTCTTGCCTACTGACATCAATCCCACTCGCATACTGCCCCTTTAGATTTCGTAGTTCTATTTTGTGGGTATTATGTTACTTGTTCGTATGCTATTTGTGCAGAATGGCAAGTCAGCCTGCATCGAGCAATACAAGACCACCCACAGTGCAGATTCGTGGACAACCTGTTGCCCAGAAGAGTGGCTGCTGCTCTTCGTAGTTGACTGCCATGGACGTGTGAGGATAAAATTCTCAGCGATCCTTCCAACAGGGGAAAGATTGTTACCACCTATTGATCAAGTCATCAGTGCTCTAAATGCATCTTATATAATTTCAAGTTTATTGGACTCCTTGAGGGGCCTGTACAAATTAAAAAGGTTTTACTTCTTAGTAACATTTGTTTTTTATTTTGTTACTGTTTTATAGTTATGTCCAGTGATTCGTAGCTGAGTCGTACGTAGTCCTCAGCCGTTTCGTGGCGTTTGACAGCTGGTGTTGCAAATGGATAGAATTATGTCAGATGGAGATTTGTGTGAGTTGAAATTGTGCAGAAGTGTAATTTTCTATTAGTAATTTTACCTATGATGATGTTTGTTGGTAGGAAAAGTCTACATGTATATAATATATGTACATAATAGTGTCCATAATGTGATTTAGACAAAATTCAGTTGTTGAAGTGAATGTGTGAGATTTGAATTAATGGTTGGATCCAGTGTCACATGTAATTATGGACACCATTATGTATAAATTTATGTACATGTAGCACTTCTCTTGTTGATAATAGTTTAAAGTTGTTTATAATTTACTTTTATGTTAAATTAATTAGAAATAGCTATAATTTACAATTTACCTCTCAATTTAAATTACAAGTTTATAAAAATCTCATGATAGGGTAGGATTACAAGTGAGAGCACAAAAATGTAATATTTTAAAATTGGTTTGGGCATTGATAGAGGTGGCAAACGGGCCGAGCGGCTCGTCGGCCCGACCGCTCGGCTCGTGAAAACACGAGCTGGTCGGGCTCGTCATAATAGTTTAAAGTTGTTTATAATTTACTTTTATGTTAAATTAATTAGAAATAGCTATAATTTACAATTTACCTCTCAATTTAAATTACAAGTTTATAAAAATCTCATGATAGGGTAGGATTACAAGTGAGAGCACAAAAATGTAATGTTTTAAAATTGGTTTGGGCATTGATAGAGGTGGCAAACGGGTTGAGCGGTTCGTCGGCTCGTTCCCTCAGCTCGTGAAAACACAAGCCGCTCCGGTTCGTCAAATGACAAGCCCGAGCCGAGCTTCAAGTGAGCTTGACGAGCCGAGCCGCGAGCAGCTCGGGGGCAAGGGCCCACGAGCCGAGCTCGTGGGCTCGTGAAAAATTAAAGAATAATTTTTAAAAAAACGTGAAAAAAATTCAAAAAGCTCGTGGGCTTGCGGCTCGGCTCATGAGCTCATCAGCTCGTGGGCCGAGCTCATGGGATTACGGGCCGAGCCGAGCATGCCATCATTAGGCATTGATATGAAAAAAAGGTCCAAGTTAGGAGTTAAATGGTCAACTGAGGTCGAATTGGTGGGAAGTAACTTTCATTTTTTGGAGGTAAATAACTCTCGATTATGATTATTTTTATTTTTATTGAAAACGCCGGGTCCGATTTCGACCTTGCAAAAGGTGAAATTAAATATTTTTATCGTTGCCAAACTTTCTCGAATTTTTATTTAGCCTTGTTTGGTTGAGTTAGTGGATTAAATTTAAGTTAAATTCAACAATTAAATATAATCATATTTTATGGGTTTCATACTTTTTAAATTATATATTTTATTAATTTTTATTGAAATTTACTAAAATCTTATTTTTATTTAAATCAAATAGGGGTTTATTCTCATTGAACTTTTAAATTTTTTTGAATTGTTATTGAACTTTCTGAAATGTTTTCGAATTACTATTGAAATTATGTAATTGTTAGTCCATTCACCACTTCGTCACTTGTTATTTTAAAAGTAAATGAATTTGATGACATTACAAATGAAATGACGAATATGATAAAATTTTGATAAATTCATCAAATTCCTTAACTTTTTTAACAATGGGTGACTGTCAAATGAGATACTATTTTGGTAAGTTCTATATCAAATTAATTTTTTTTTTTTAATTTCAACATTTAAGAAAAATCAGAAAAAATGGAATATTTAACCCTCAAAAGTGGCAATAATAATAACAATAAATAAATAGTGCTAACAAAACGTCAATAGAACCTTTTCTAGTGCTATTTGTATCAATTTCCCTCTTTGTAACATTATTGATCGATTCGCTTGTGAACCCGAACAACGGCGTTTGCATCCAGTAATAAACCTGCGCAGAGAGTAGAAGGCACTGCAGTGAAGGCGGCAAACGAAGCAGAAACTCAGTGAGTTAAAAAAACTTGAACGATAATACTCTTTATTATTATTATTATGCACGAACGCCGGAAATGTTTTTTAACAATAATGCTTTTTTTTTTCCTCTCAAATTTGATGTATTATTGCTTATGTACGGAATTTTTACATGTGTTCCAGGTTGAGGAAGATATAGAAGACTCAATTCAGATATATTAGATATTTCAGAGGGATGTCTGTGGAATCAGGTTCAAGGAATAGTGATAATAAGTTTAGGAAGAAAGTGAAAGTTGCTATTGGAAAATCGAAGGGCTCGAAAGATGGTGTCGGGGTCGTGGAGTTGAAGGAAAAGAGTAGTAAAAAGGTGCAAAGTAGAGGAAGTAAAAATGGGGATACATTTCATGTTGATATGAATAAGAAATCAGGTAAAGAAGGGGTGGAAAGAAAAAAGAATTTGAAATTGAAATATGAAGACAAAGAAGGGGTGGGAAGAAAAAGGAACTTGAAATCAAGAAATGGAGACAAAGAGCGTGAAGCGGTAATTGAGGGAAATTCTAGTCGAAAAAGGAAGAGAATTTATGCTGATTATGATATTGGTAAGGAAAGAGCATTAGATAACAATGTAGAAACGCCCAATAGGAAATCTTTGTCCAAGAGGATGGAAAATAGGGATAGATATGATTCTGGTAAAAGAAAGCAAACGACAGGAGCAAAATCTTATGAATTCGAAGAAGCCAGTAGGAAAGCTTCAATTGCAGGAGGAAGAATATCTAAGGAAAGTAAGTTACTTGATAAGAAAAATTTGAGAGGCAAGGTGCAGGGTACCGATGAAGTGAAAATTGTTGAAGATAATGGCTTTAAGAGTGGTATGTTGAGGGGAAATGCTAAAATCAAATATTTGTCCACCCAAAAATTAGATCATGGTCGAAGAAAACGGGTAGTTTATTCTGTTGAGAAACCTCCCAAGAAGATGGTCCAGGGTAAGAAGAGCTCTGCGAGTGATTTTGAGGTAATGGAAGATCGGCCAAAGAAAAAAAAGAAAGGTATCCGTATAGATCCTCATGATATCTCGAATAAGAGATTGGATGATGGCATAGCTAGTAAAGGTCAGTAGCATTTGTAAGTTGTTTTATTTTAAGTTTTAATTCCATTTATCATATATCATATTCTATTAGGGAGTTCTATTAGGCAACTGTGATTTAGGCTTTGGCCCTAAATTGCACTTATGGTTGAGAATGTCCCACCGTGGATTCACAGATTGAATTCACTTTGGAGAGATCCCTGGTATATGAGTCATGTTACAGAATTAGTTCAGACCATCTTCTTAATTGAAATTGATTGAAATATGAGTTTTTTTTTTGGAGTTTATATGGAGCGAGCACTGTGAACTATCTATGTCAAAAAGACTACTGTAACTTTAAAAGTAGATCGCGTCTTCGAAAACAAACATTATCCTTCTAGCTACGTCTTCCGGCCAGCATTTTGTTGGAATGATTCTCATTGTTTTTTTTGTCCTTTTATTGATTCGGAGTTCCTAGAAAAATGTTATAAACAGCATTATGGGAAGCTCTTGAGTTATAGATCAATCTCTTATATCACCTAGTTATCATGGATGTGGCTTTACACCAAGGGGAAGGCAAGCATGCCATGAGATGATGGTGGAATTTCTCGAGTAATTTTCAGGGTAGTTGGTAAATTTAGCTTGAAGATGGCTATGTCAATGATGAATACGACTTAGCTGATAGGTATGGGTTTCTTGTCGTTTCAGTGTTGCAATGCAGCAGATAAATGTTATTCACTTTGGCATTTGTTTTCAACACTTGGCACGTACTAGAATGTTTTACTTTTCCAACCCTACAGGAATGTGACGAGTTCTAGCTAACACCTGCTGCTGAAGTTGCAATGATGCCAGCCACCACAAATTTGTTAAATATAAAGTTAATATATTTTTGTTTTCTTTTTGTTTTTAAACTAAATCATGATACTGTTGATTATCTTGAAATGTTATCTGTGTACTATATGTTGTCAAAGTAAATCTCTACCTCTGTAGTGCAAATGCTCACCTATCTATTTGATAATTTCGATTGTATCTTCTGCGGATAAACTCGTTCGTCTTTTCTTCTAACTTATTTTTCCTCACATGCTTTCCAGATAATAGTGAAGAAAACAAAGATTCAGTAGAAAAAAATGATGCTGAAATGTCAAAAAATGCACAGTTTCGTGCCATTCGTCCTAGCCCCTCTATCCTTTCCTTTGTGGAAGACAATGTAATTTGTCTCGCTAGGCCCAGTATGCTTGACTAACATCATTTTTATTCTCCATATCTGTTGTTTTATTTTTTGGTGAGATTTGTTGATTCTTAGCACTTCTTTCCAGTTTCTGGGCCGTAGACGTGATGTGGAGTTTAGGAGGGCTGGTTACAACACTGAGCTTTCTGCCCCTTTAGATAACATTCCCTTCTCAACAAGCTCAGAAAGGGAACGGATTGAAGTACCGGTATGTTCAAATGGTTTCTATTATGATTCATGAATATGGTTGAACTTTACAATTTTAATACCTATTACTGAACGATTTTGTGCACCAAAATACCCACTTCTTTTTGTATGGTTTAAATCTACTCTTCAGCGTGAACTATGTAGTTAATTTTGATTACAAAATACTACTATCTGTTTGCTAGACTCTATTAACAGTGTATTCTCCCTGTCATTTAAGTTCTCCAAGTAAACTAAGCTATTTGATGCACCAGTAAGACGCTAATAGTTCACTGTACGTCTATGAGTGTAAAATCAGCAAATTTTTACTAAATGCATCTTATGTCATTTCTGTTTTTTCTGTAGGTGTTAACTTATGATTATTTTGTAGGTATTCAGAAATAAATTGACATTCTTTGCTGCTGCTAAGATTTCATCATCATTCCCCGCTCCTGAATTTCCGGAGATTGCATTTGCAGGTATATTGAACGAACTTTTTCTGTGAAAGAACACGAAAAAGTCAACTGTGATAAACTTCTTTTTTTGGAATGTTCGTTTGTTTAATTTGGTTGCTTATTTTCTTCAGGAAGTTTGCATCAGTTTCGATAAGTGAATCTTCAGATTGTTTTATAATGAATATTTTACTAACGCTCCTTTCTCCTAATGGCTTATATTACTATTGTTTCACATTGATCTGTAATGAATGAAACATGTGAAATATATAACGATGCCTGGAAGAAGGTCCTGGTGCTTATTTGACAAACTTGACTGGATTTAATACTCAAGTGAATCTGTTTTTTAGGACGGTCAAATGTAGGGAAATCATCTTTGCTAAATGCACTAACTAGACAATGGGGAGTTGTACGGACATCAGACAAGCCTGGTCTCACACAGGTGCTATATTTGTTATTATAATTGAATTTGAAATTATCAGAATATGCTTAATAACAACTTGCAATCATTTTGTAGACTATCAACTTTTTCAAACTTGGATCAAAACTCCATTTAGTCGATTTGCCGGGATATGGTTTTGCTTATGCTAAAGAAGAAGTGAAGGAAGAATGGGAGGCACTTGTGAGTATTATGAGAATAAGTGTTGTCATTTTTTCTTGATTTTTAATTTGGTTAATATATAGTATGGCACATCAATCATCATCTCTATGCATTAACAGCTGATGAGTTCAGGTGTTGATCACAGTTGGTGCTAAGCAAAAGGAAACACTTGTGTATATAATATTTAGATAAAAGTCAATATGCTTGAAAATATTTATAGACTGGGATTTGCGCTATATAAATATTCAACAGTGTTTAACCACTGAAGTTCGAGTTAATAACTGGTCCTAACAAGACCAACTCGAAGTTCTCTCTATCTTTACTGTATATGCTTGATTGTATATACAAAAATCACATGACATGTTAATATTATGGTTTATTGCGATTCGCATGATAGGCTACACCCAATTTGAAATAAATGAAGCATTATAATGTTAAATGAAACAATATTACATCACTTCTTGGCCAAAGAATATCCTAAATGATGCAAGGTGTATGGGTTACTGTTTTTTTTTATTTGATGCATATTTGAGTATAGAGTTTTTTAGGAGGAAACTGCATCATTCTTCTGGTGATGGGAAATATGAAATTGGGAAAAAAAATTAATAAATTGATAATTTTGAGTTAAAATGGATAGTACTTGAACTTAGTGATACTTTTATCACTTATCTACTGGAACTGATCTTCTTTTGTTGACTATACTTTGATATGTCTTTGTACTTGTTATATTTGGTTTCAATTATTTTGGCTTGTTATTTTAGACATTCTTTTTTCACTCCCCTCATTATTCTTGCACTTCATTTTGCAGGTGAAAGAGTATGTGTCTACACGTGTTGGTCTAAAGCGAGTTTGTCTTCTTGTAGACACAAAATGGGGTATGAAACCAAGGGATCATGAACTTATTGATTTGATGGAAAGGTAAAATCGCAATGAGTATATGTACTATTCATGTCTGTATAGTGTTATGGACTCTTTCTACATTTCTTTAATTATTCAACGGATGGGTGGGGACTTCACAGTTTTATATTTGAATCATGCTATAATGCCAGGGGGCCGGTTGGCCACCTGTACAAGTATCTTTATCCTTTATATTTACACGTTCATTTTAAATGGTGTCTTGCCATGGCCATGAAACTGTGATATTGTTTCCTGAATATACAGGTCGCAGACTAAGTACCAAATTGTTTTGACAAAGACAGATATGGTTTTCCCAGTTGATGTGGCTCGCCGAGCAATGCAAATTGAGGAGGTAAATGTATTAGATGTATCGTGAATCTAAATTGAAATCTATATCCCCCTCTGTTCCATGACTGGTTCCCCGTCTGATCTTGTAGAGCCTCAAAGCAAAGAAGTCTGCAGTTCAACCTGTGGTATGAAGGATATGGCTGGTTTATTCATTCTTTTAATGTTCATTTTCTTGCTTGAGGAACTAAAGCTGGTATGGCCTTTGTACATAAATGCAGATGATGATAAGCTCAAAAACCGGAGCTGGTGTCAGATGTTTAAGAACAGCGCTTGCTAATATTGTCAAGTTTGTTAAGCGCTGAAAGGTACTTTGTTTTGTAACATTTTCTTGTGTCAAATTTATATGAAAGATTTTGGCTTTCAAAATTCCTATTTTGTTGATTCAATGTAGTTTAAATTTGATTCGTGGATCATACTCTCATAATTATTGAAATCAGCTCAGTACTATGTTCTGTGTATACGTGTTCGTTTGCATATATTAAGATGGACGAGCTCACTTGACATTTTGACAGGAGACTGAAACTTAAAAAATTCATGAAAATTATGATGCAAATATGGAATTAACTGACTCTGTAAAACTTATTTGGTGATCGATGAACTCAATAGGTTTTATTCAAAATATTTCACAGAAGAAGAGTTGTCAAAAAAACCTCGACATTAAAGGAGGCCCAGAGCAAATATTTTATTAAAGGATTATACAAGAAATTGGATATCTCTGTCAAGATTAAAGGTGATGTTAGCAATCCTACGAATTGAGACCGGAAAATATCACAGTGGAAGAAGCGCAAAAGGCCAATGAGAGGGGTCAGATAACCAAGTTGAAGAAAGGCCAAGAATGGAGGCCCCTAGTTGGAAAGATCGCCTAATATTCTCACTAAAAACCCTTGAACATCATTCAGGGATATCAGATGAAATTAGAACAATACCAGTTCAAGATTGACGAGCACGAAAAGATCACCAAATATTCTCATACTAAGCATCGTAAGGCACTGATTGCAGTGTAAAAGATTATTAGAGCTTGCTTTAAGCCTTCACAAAATATGGCATTGTGCAAAGAAAGGTGACAAGTTTCAATTCAAGGTGTGCCATTCTGGAAAGGAGTCGATTTTTACTGTGACAGAAAGTACCCACAAGCCATGTAAAGAGTGTTGCTACATGTTCCCTAGTCTATTGCAAATAAGAGCGCAACAAATACTCGTGATGGCAAAGTACCAACAAAATTACTATTTACCACAGCTAAACAATGTAAAGAATATTGTAAACCTAATCAGCCATGGCTCGCAACTAATGTTCTTAAACTGTTTTTTAAAACTCTTTTCTATTTTATAAAATCACAGAAACTAATTTCAAATGCGGACAATGACAACCATATTGTTCACTAAATGAGCTAAACAAGCTCTAAAATCTGAAAACTCGCAATCACCATCCAAAAGCGTTGACAACTAGCAAAATATTGTCTTACACGTGAAATAGACAAGATCTACTAAACATAGACAAAACATCAATGCTGCCAAGCTGCTACTCTCTCCCAGTAGCCTGAAAAGAAACATGAATTCCGTAAATATAAAGCAAGTATTAATAATGTAAAAACATACACATACACAAACAGAAATTTTGAAGGGCAACGGGAGCACTGACAACACAACCAAGAGACGAGAAGTGTGAAAAATGCTTCAAATGACAGAATATTTTAGCACTGACAATAAAATCCCCTATAGAAAATGTTCTTAATGAGCTATTAAAACCAATCCATAAAAACAACATATTTGGCCAAGGGAAATATCTACTTGTATAGTCTAAAAAATCAAGTACAGCGTAAACAAGTGATCATCTTTGAAGAAGTGTGAGAAGAGGTGACAAGAACGGATGGCTGCACAATAGCTCATGCTTCAGTGAAGGCAACAATAATTACTTTAGGGAAGGCAATAATCTTGATCACTAAAGTATTAAGCAAATATTCGAATTCATATTCCACAAATAAGCTCATAACTTTGGGACACACGAGGCTGGAAAATCTAGAGTTCTAAATTTCACTCCAAGTTGACCTTTAGTTTCGTCGTTGTCTTATCCCTAATCATGTGTTTTTACTTTTCATTGTTGATAACAGCCTAAGTTTACAATCTATTTGCAGTTTCCATATGTTCATGTCCTCACCTTTTGGTACTTTTTATTTGTAGAAGTGTCGAAGATCGCTGTAGGGTTAGATTTCAATTTTAAGTTAGAAGTAAACTCCATAGTTAAAAAAACTTAGCATGGTGCTCTACACAGTTCTTAACTATGTGACAAGTGAAATAGTGAGATTATTTCTCAACAGTCACCATATATGACCAGAAACATATCATCCTGAACTGCAATTCTTTAAATCAAAGCTAAGGAAAGATATCTATATTAGTGCAAAATAGAAAATTAAATATCTATGTCATGCAATAACTAACCACGGTTGATACATTAAAAAAAAAGAATCCGAAAGATCTTACCGATCACGAGTCAAAAAGAGGTCTCGCCAACTAATTAGACTTGAACAGCTCCTGAAAATTTGTGTTCACTTTCAACTCAGTGAACATGGTGGCACTAAACATAGCTTTTAAATTGTCAAACTGAGTAGATATTACTTTGACCCTATTAGTTATTTAGCCTAGAAAAACACTACTTGTTCTCTCACTTCTTCATAATTAATTCTATCTTCATTTTACTTTTTAACAGTTGTGTGCCTATCAGAATTATGACTACAATAGAATGTCTTTTCATTATATGCAATAAAGTGTAATGATATTTGCAAGAAATGAGATCTGATATAGCATTCCGTCATTACTGACCAAAATTAAGCATCTGGGTTAAATATTTGGATATAAAAGAAAATTATGTCACTTTTTTTTTTGAACTGTAAATGCTTTGTAAGATTAAATTTCTAAATCCACTTAATAACTCATAAACGAAAATTTACATTACAATCCTGATCTTGTTGTAAAAGGCTGAACTTTTTCGCTGGTACTTGCATTTATTTGTGAACTGTATGCCACATGGGATTCAGTTTAAGCTACCTGAGATCGCAAATGTTCAACCTCGGAGCGCAGAATGGCCAACTGATCATCGAAGGACTTCATTCTTCTCTGGAATCTTTCTTCATAAAGCTCGCTAGAAGCATCTCTTTTGCTCCTAACTTGTGGTGGCATAGGACCTAACCTCATTTTCCGGACACAGCCATTGTCCGCAAATGGTGTAGAATCAAACCCCATTTTCTGAAAGTTTCATGCATTTTTCCATCACGTAACCAAATTTAGCACACGGGTGAAATACTTGCATATAAAGTGAGAATTTGGTCACGTTTTTAAGAACAGATAGTTGGTTTATTTATGAAATGGATGCTGGTGCAGTCTAATATATACATATATATAGTAACTTTAATAGATAACATGCAACCAAAAACAGTAGAATGACATACTATTAAGTGTTTTTGTAATATGCCTTTCCTCGATACCGGGGCTTACTTGGGATTCAGTCCGAGCTACCTTAGATCGGACAAATTCAACCTCAGAGCGCAGAAAGGCCAACTGGTCGTCCATGGCTTTCATTCTCCCCTCATACCTTTCATAGCATTCCCTCCATGCACTTTCTAAAATCATTCTCCTCAATCTTTCTTCATAATGCACGTCTTGATCACTTGGAGGATCTCTTTTGCGTTTAACTTGTGATGCTGTACTTGTCTGTGTGCGGCCATTGCCAAACCCCATTTCTGAAAGTTTCACGCATTATTTCCTTGATAAAAGGTAGAATCATCGATAACTATTTAAAAGTTCTAAGATCTAATAATTACAGAAATAATTAAAATTATTGAAAGAATGATCATTTAACTAGTCAACAATTAAATTTTAGAACATAAATTACTTGAATAGTGTATTTAAATGTAAAATAATAAAAGATGTAACTTTATATATAAAAATAATCCCAAACCCCAAAAGGAAAATGAAAAATTGCCATAAGATCACCAACAACAAACCCCCTCCATAGAAATCCGAAGAAAGAGAAGTTAAAAGGTCACAATATCCAGCAGACGCCATCTATTATGAGGATCATCAAATTTCATGAAGGGGTAATCTTTTTCAAGAAAATAATTTAATGTAGGCAGTATATCCGCTAAACAATCAGTTAATATTCTTTAGACAGAAAAAATATTGCAAGAGGAAATCTCTAAAAGCACATAAAATTACTTCAGCGTAGAAAAATTGGTTCTTGTTTTTCAGCACAAAATTACACTAATAATTCGAAAAATAAATGCAAAAAACTAATAATCTGAACATACATATTACCCAAAGTCTTGAGGGCTGGAAAGAAACTCGATTTCTCGAATGGTGAGGATAAGGATACAAATATGGACGGAAATTTGCGAATTGGGAGATTAGGCTTTCGAGGAGTTGAGTTATGATGGAAAACGTAGGAATTGGCAGATTTTAATGACACTAGGTTGCAGACCAAATCGTAACTACGTCGATAGCTGAGGAACCAAAGGTGAAATTATCCCTTTCTCTGTTTTTAGTTTTTTATTTTTCTTTTGCCAGATGATTTTGTTTTTCGTCAAAAAGTTATAACCAAAAATTGAATCTTTAGTGAGAATTCTTCTTTGAATCTGTTTTAAAAGGTTATGTATAAGGAAAGCAAAAAAAATCATTTAACCCGATACTCGCGGGCTCTATCTCGAATGAGACGAAGATTACACGCCTAACCGGCTAAAAAGGAAGTGGTCAAAGCAAGGGTCGTTGCCCTGAAGACTCGCATCGTTGATAGATGTCCCATGCCACATTTCGTGAATAGCTATGCTTGAGAATGAAGTAGGTACGGAACGGATACGAGTAACATAGTCCTCGTCCCGTTACACGTCACGTTTAAAGTTTATTTTAAACTTAATTTTTTATGAAACAAAAATAAAAGATTTATCATTATTTTAAAGAGAATATGAGTTGTTCATAACAAATTGGGAAAAAATAATAATAATATTCACTAACAAAAGACATAAAAAATTAAAAATAAATAGGGCAATAAACCGCTTCGATCTCATCCCCAACCCGTCTCGTTCCATCCCCGTTTAATCAAATATGGGGGCAGGACAAGATAACAAAAAATTCGATGGAGCGGGAAATAGAAACGGCTGACTTCCTCTGTTGACATCCCCAATTATGTACAACCTTCTAGGATGCGAGTAGTGTTTGAAGATATGGGCGGGATGTGGTGGGCTGGGCTGGCTTGGGAAAGAGGAAGAGGATGGAGTCAATTTATCATATTCCTATTCTCATTTTTCTTTTATTTG